TGACCTGCTCTGGGTCGTGTGCTCTAACCTCTCTCTCTGATCTGGGCCTCACTAATGTCTCTGTCTCTGATCTTTTTCTCTCAAACCTGTGTCCCAACGGGATCGTTAAGATTCGGATTAACCGAGAAGTAAGTAGATAGTTCCCCCTCTCCTCCCTTCTCTCTGCTCCCATCTCCTGCCAGGCCTCGCCCTGGGCAGTGTGCTGTTAAATAACATCAGGGAGAGGCAGGCTGGGAAAATGTGTGGATAAACCTGGATATGGTGCGGGGAAGGGGAAAGCGAGGTCTGTGTGGCACAGGGAAAGCAGGGCCCGTGTGCTCAGAGGAGGGGTTGAATTCATCCCACAAAATCCCCTGTGAAAGGAGCCACGGGGGATGGAGAAGCCACTGTCACCTCCGTATGTGTGGTGTGGTTTAACTCTTCTGGGCCCATGGCCAAGGAGTGGGACACTGGGTCCATGGTCCCTTTGGCAGCAGCCCGGCTGGAATGTGCTCTTTGGGCTGGCATGTCCCTGTTAAGAGTTGGGAATGGTGCCTGTAAGCAGCTGGGATGAAGAAGGGGAGCAGGGATGTCACTCAGCACCGTGTGGCTGCTGTGGGATGGGGTGTCATTAGTGGGGCTCTTGTGGCAGCAGGAGCTGGTGGATCCTGGGATGCCCTCTGGGTGCTGCTAAAGGTTTTGGTGCAGACCAGGGATGAGTTATATGAGTCTCCCATGGAATGCAGGAGGTGCACCCTCCCAGACAGGGTGTTCCAGGTGCTGGGTGACTGCTCCAGCTCCTCCTCCAGCGGTGGTGGGCAGCACTGTGCTGGTGGGCAGGACCAGTTGGGTGACTGGGAAGTGTCTTACAGGGCTGTGCCCCAGCTCTCGGGTGTCCCAGTGTCCCCCCCAGCTCAGGACTGATGTCTCTGCTTCCCTTGCAGGGCTACCACAGGTCCAACCACTTCATAGCCACCCAAGGTGAGTGTGACATCCCCCTCCCTGCTCCCGCAGCCCTCTCTCAGCCAGCAGTTCTGCAGCCCCTCATTTAGCAGCTGGCTTTTGTCCCTGGTGGGATCTGACCTTGCTGGGGCAGGAAAGGGTGACAAGGGGCACTGTGGAGCAGCTTCCACCCCTTGGCACCACAAAACCCCCCACGACCCTGCAGGACAAGGGTTCTAAAATGCTGGGGGGGTGTTTGTGCCACAGAGGCAGGAGGGAGGGCGCGGTGGCATCGCGGCGCTGCCGGCGCTGGGTTCTGCTGGTGGTGCCCATCCATCCCTGGGGTCCTTTCCTCCCTCCCACAGGGCCCAAGCAGGAGATGGTGTACGATTTCTGGCGCATGGTGTGGCAGGAGCACTGTTCCAGCATCGTGATGATCACCAAGCTGGTGGAGGTGGGCCGGGTAAGCACCTCACCCCATCCCTTCCCTCCAGGCTCCAGCTCTGCAAGAAGCCACCTCCACAGAGCCAAAACTCCATCCCATCCTCTCCTTGCAGGTGAAGTGCTCCAAATACTGGCCAGATGACTCGGAGATGTACGGGGACATCAAGATCACCCTGGTGGAGTCAGAGACTTTGGCTGAGTACGCTGTGCGCACCTTCGCCCTCGAGAGGGTACGGCCCCGCTGCTGCCCACCCTGCCCTCAGGGACAGCTCCCACCACCAGCCACGGCCTGGCACTGACCAATACCCTAGTTATTAACCCAAAATGGGGCTTTCAGCCCTGGCTGAGGTGCAGCTTCTGAACCCAGGGACACCGGTAGCTCCTTCCTTTGCCTTTCCCCTGGCTCTGCACCCTGTGCTGGGTGAGCGGCTCAGCCCCGCGTTGGGTTGGGCAGGGAGTCAGTGTTTGGTTGGTTGGGGCTGTGAGTGTTTGGTTGGTTTGGGCAGGGAGTAAGGGTCTGTTTGGTTTGGTTGATCTGGGCAGTGAGTGAGTGCTTGGTTGGGGCAGTGAGTGAGTGTTTAGTTGGTCTGGGCAGTGAGTGTCTGCTTGGTCTGGGCAGTGAGTGAGTGTTTAATTTCCTGTCAGCACTGTGTGAGTGCTGTGGGGGAGAAGGATGCTTTCCTCTCCCCTGGGCTGGAGGTGATGCAGCCATCACTCTCCAGGCTGGTAACTGGAGATGGAGCCAGTGCAATTTACCCCTCAATCTACAGGGATATCGAATTGCTGCCTGGTTATAGGGCAGGGAGCAAAGATGTTCATGGAATGAGACCTGAGGCTGCTGCTGTCTCCTCCTCTTTCTCCTTGGTTGCTTTTTAACCCTCCTGCAGTCAGGGAGGAGGGAGCTGTTGTATGGTTCACCTGAGCGGATGCTGAGCTGGCAAAATCACGGATTCCTGAGAAAATTGGAATGACTTTGCCTTCTCACCCTTCCCTTCCAGAGGGGTTACTCAGCCCGGCACGAGGTGAAGCAGTTCCACTTCATGTCGTGGCCTGAGCACGGTGTCCCCTACCACGCCACGGGGCTGCTGGCCTTCATCCGCAGGGTGAAGGCGTCCACCCCGCCCGATGCCGGCCCCATTGTCATCCACTGCAGGTACAGACATGGCCATGGGGCAGAACCAGCTCTGGGGGGAACCATCCCCCTCTGGGATGGGCTTTGGGGGGCGTGGATGGGGGGCAGGGAGCACGCTGTGTCCTGGGGCTCTGAACGAGGCTGAAATCTCAGAGTGATGCTGAAATATTCAACAGGGAGATATGAAAGGGGTAAATTGGGTTTCTAGTGAGGAGAGGCTGAGGCAGGGAGGGAACTGGGGCTGATGGTTTGGGTGAAGGGACCTTAAAGATCATCTAGTCCAACTCCCTGCCATGGGCAGGGACACCTTTCACTAGACCAGGGACACCTTTCACTAGACCAGGTTGCTCCAAGCCCTGTCCAGCCTGGCCTTGATGTCCTTCTATGATGTCACCCCTGCAAAATGTCACCCCTGGACTGGTGGCAGCAGGGATGGGGGGCTGGGGCTAGTCCAGGGGGAACAGCCCTGTTTTGGGGCTGCCACAGCACCTGCTACTGATGACACAACTCTGTCCTTGTGGGTGGGGGTGACACAGGGGGACGGGCAGCTTGACCCCTGCTGATGGTCAGATGTTGGGGCTGGCTGAAGGGAGAGGGAAGGGGGACAGAGGACGGCCCCTTTCCCAGGGTTACCCACAGGGACAGGCTCAGCCACTGGGATGCTGGAGCTGGGAGGACACCAGTGGCACATCTGAGCAGCAGTGGTGGCTTTCTGGCATTCCCATGGGATGGGTTAATGGCTCTCCCTCCGCTGGGCAAACGAGCAGCTGATGAGTGGGAGGGATTTTTTTATTTGATTTGATTTCTCCCTGTCAACTGCCTCATCAGCCTTCATTGAACAGCCAGGGTGATTAGTGCCCGAAGCCTGTAATCACTGCTAATCACCACGAGTGATTCATCAGCCCCAGAAATTAGTATTTCACTGGAAAAGACTGTAGGAAAGGAGCAGGGGGGTGGTTCTGTTGCTGACACGTCATGGGGGGGGTCACAGCAACAGTAGGACTGTGAGTCCAGGGTTTGGGATATCAGCACTGCTGGGCTGGCTCTGGGCATCCTGCTGGGTCTCCCCTGGGGGAATTCAGACCTGCTCATGCCAGGGGAACCTCCCTGCTCTCCCAGGGCTTGGTGCTGAGCCCTCCTTTGCCCTTTTGGGATGGGATCCTGGAGCACTGTTGGCACTCAGGTGGTTTAGCTCTCAGTTTTGTTGCAAAATGCATGTGTTTTGTTGTCTTACAGTAAAAATGAACCTTAAACACGAGTGCCCCCCCACAGCCTGACCATCACACACCCCTGGGGCTGCTGCAGTGGTGTTTGGGGGGGGTGTAAGGCAAAGCCAGGCTGTGGTTATGGAGGTGTGTGAGGTCCTGGCAGCCCTGCCTGGACCCCATTTGCCCCCACATTCATGGGCAGGGTCCATACACCGACCTTGCTCGGTGCCCAGCAGCACTTTGGGCTGTGTGTGGGTGCCAGCACAGACTGGGAGTGTGTTTGCTGTGTTTCCCCCCTCCCTCCCCAGTGCTGGCACGGGGAGAACCGGCTGCTACATCGTCCTGGACGTTATGCTGGACATGGCTGAGTGTGAGGGTGTGGTGGACATCTACAACTGCGTGAAGACCCTCTGCTCACGGAGGATCAACATGATCCAGACAGAGGTGAGCGGGCACTGGGGACAGCCGGGGACACACGGGGCTGCTGTCACCACAGAGAAGGGGGAGGCTCAGCCCTGTCTCCTCTCCCCCCAAAAGGAGCAGTACATCTTCATCCACGATGCCATCCTGGAGGCCTGTCTGTGTGGGGAGACCAGCATCCCCGCCAGCGAGTTCAAGCCCACCTACAAGGAGATGGTGAGGATTGAGCCACAGAGCAACTCCTCGCAGCTGCGGGAGGAGTTCCAGGTGAGCGGCCCCGAAACCTCTGCGAGACCCTCTTCCCCTCGCCCTCCTGGTGCCCACTCCCCGTGGGGCCAGCAGGAAGGGGTTTTGGGCCCTGTGCTGAGGGGGAGGGACGTGTGTCCCCGCAGACCCTGAACTCGGTGACCCCACACCTGGACGTGGAGGAGTGCAGCATCGCACTCCTGCCCCGCAACCGGGAGCGCAACCGCAGCATGGACGTGCTGCCGCCCGACCGATGCCTTCCCTTCCTCATCTCCGTGGATGGAGACAGCAACAACTACATCAACGCGGCCTTAACCGATGTGAGTGGCCCCCTTTCCTCCCCAGGGGATGTCGTGGGTTGTCTCAGGCAGCTTTTCGTGGCTGGGTTTGCATTTCCAGCCTCGTTTTGTACCAGGGCACCGAGGGCTCGTGGCAGCTGTGGGGGAGGAAGGGCTGGGACTGCTGGAACCTGCACCCCTTCTTCTGTGTAACAGCATCCAGAAAGAACTTATCACCTCCCCCCGCAAGCCACGCACTGAGGGGCTTCAGTATTTTGCAGGGAAAGTGGAGCAGAGGAGGCAGAGGAAGCTCATGGAGGGGTTGGTGGCATTGAGCCCCCTGTGTGCTGCCAGCATCCTGCTGTGCATCCTCCTGTCCCTCCTCCTGCTGCAGTTCAGGGGCTCTGAACTGCTCCCAAAGCCACCGTTCATCCCCCTGGGCCAGTCAGAAGGGACCCCTGTGGTGGCAAAGCTATTCCCTGGTTGCTGATGGTCACGAAGCAGAGCAGAGAGGATGCTGCAGGCTCTGAGGGATGGGCCATTTATCACCAAACCCACCTTCCTCTCCCTGAAAGGAGCTGGGGTGCTTTGCACGGGCAGCACTGAGCCCCTCACACCCTGGACACCTTCCCTAGACCCTCCTGGTCACAGCTGAGCACTGACACCAGGCCAAGCCTTGCATTTTCCATCCCACGAGTGATTTATCCCACTGGATCTTTGAGCAGATCCCATCTCCCTGATCCCTGCTCCCACAGCAAAAGCAGTTTGGAAAGTGGAGTGGGCTGCTGGTGGTGGGGAGTGTCTCCTGTTGGGCTGCATTAGGATGGAGCTTTGTTTTCAGCTTGCTTGCTGTTTGCATATCCATTTTATTTTTATGCATCACTGAGCCTCCCTTAATCTCTGCTAAAGGGTCAGCAAATAAAATATTTTTTTATAGACAGAAAAAGCCCCGAGGATGAAATTCTCGCTGAAGGGATAAAACCCATTTCCCTCTTTGGGCAAAGAAAAAAAAAAAAAGAAAAAAAGAAAAGTCTCATTTTCTTTAAGTGCCAAAGTGGTTTGCTCAAGTCAGTCTGTCCATCTGTCAGATGGTCTGGCTGCCTGTCACTGGTGCCACATTGTGTGGTGCCAGTGGAGCCGTGCCCTGCTCTGCACCAGCTGCTCTCACTTACACCTGTGCCAAAGATGTGGGTGCCAAGGCAAACCCTGGGCAGCCCCTGGTGGAATCTGCTGCTCTCATCCCCCTCCTCAAGGGCAGAAAGCTCTCACCAGGCACCAGGACCTCACTGCTGCCCATGGGCAGGGCTGGGGACAGCTCAATAAAGGCATTTCTAGAGGTGGAATGAGGAGGTTCTGCAGCAGCCAGAGGACCCCCAGTCAGCAGAGAGCTGTGCTGGGTCTGTGTTTGGTGGGGCTGGAGCCCAACTGTTAATTTGAGTCTGCTTGAAGCAGTGTTGAGCTTGGTGAGCTGGTGGCAGGATGACCAAGGGAAGGATTCTCATTTAAGTACAAAGGAGAAAGAATCACAGATCACTGAGGTTGGAAAAGACCTCCAGATCATCCTGTGACTGATGCCCACCTTGTCCCCCAGCCCAGAGCACTGAGTGCCACATCCAGTCCTTCCTTGGACACCTCCAGGGGTGGGGACTCCACCACCTCCCTGGGCAGCCCCTTCCAATGTTTAACAACCCTTTCAGTGAGAAATTCCTGCTGATGTCCAACCTGACCCTCCCCTGGCACAGCTTGAGGCCATTCCCTCTCCTTCTGTCCCTTGTTCCCTGGGAGCAGAGCCTGACCCCCCCCGGCTCCCCACTCCTGTCAGGGGGTTGCAGAGCCAGAAGGTCCCCCCTGAGCCTCCTTTTCTCCAGGCTGAGTCCCCCCAGCTCCCTCAGCTGCTCCTGCTGCTCCAGCCCCTTCCCCAGCTCCGTTCCCTTCCCTGGACACACTCCAGCCCCTCCATGTCCTTCTTGTCATGAGAGGCCCAGAACTGGACACAGCACTTGAGGTCTGGCATCACCAGTAATTTCCAACACCCCTGCTCCCCCACTTCCTTGCAGTTTTTAGGGATCTTTTATTTGGGGATTTTCTTTCTTCCTCCCAAAAATCCATTGAACCCCAGGGCAGTGGTTGCTCCTGCTGCTCTCAGTGCCCTTTCAGTGGTGGGACACTGTGGGTGGGGGTGATGCTGTGGGTTCATTTGGGGCCAGGGTGCAGAGCTGGGGGCTGGGGCCCTCTGGCAGCCACGGCTTCTGCTTGTTCTTGGCTCAAAGGTGGCACCTTTTCCTTAGTTATTTATGCAAAATAGCCTTTCCTGTGAGAGCAGAGGGTGGGTGCTTTCATCCTGGCCGAGGGCAGGGATCACTTGGACCTCCCCTTCACCAGGAGTGACAAAGGTTGTCCCAGGGAGACCAGGAGAAGGTGGCTCTGGTGCCACTCATCTTCTGGTTGCACTGATTTTTTTTTGGGGGGGGAAGGGGGTGGCTCCAGTGCCACCACCACGCCCTTGATGGTGCCTGTCTTCCTTCTCCCCAGAGCTACACCAAGAGCGCTGCCTTCATCGTCACCCTGCACCCCCTGCAGAACACCACCACTGACTTCTGGCGGCTGGTGTATGACTATGGCTGCACCTCCATCGTCATGCTCAACCAGCTCAACCAGTCCAACTCTGCCTGGGTGAGTCCTGCTGCCCCGGGCACCCTGCTGGCACTTGGATCCAGCCATCCAAGGGGTTACTTCGAAGCCCGGTTTATTCCGAGACTTGGTTTTAACGACTGTCACTGCTGGAAAGGATTCCTGGCACCCATGTGTAATGCAGATGGAAGAAGGGCATCATCTTTGCCCTGGTCTTTGAGTCCATCACACACTTATCTTTCCATCTGCTGCTTCAGCAAAGGGTTTTCCTGGCTGGTGAATGTCCGTGTTTTGTGCTGTCAGCCTGTTGTTCTTACAAACTGACTGGAAGGTGTTGCATTTCTAGCAGAGGCTCTCTCCATAGCACAAGTTCTTTTCACAAAGCAGTTTCCTTCTCACTCGTCATTCAAACAGCACCTTCACCTCGAAGGGGGGCTTTAAGTGTGTTTATTTTTTGGAGAGAGCTCAGTAGCTCACTACTGACGGCGAGTCAGCAGCAGGTTTGCAGTGCTTGTCTTTTTGTAAAGCAAAACTCCTCTAAGGTCGACAGCTCTTTTAAGCCCTTCGCAGTGAGATAAGCAGCAAATTCCATGTGGTTTGAGAGATTTTCATGGTTTCTCCCTGTCTCATTACAACAGACTGTAAAGAAGTTATTTGCTGTTGGGAATATATCTCTCTGTGTGGAAAACATAAGTAAAATGAAATGGCACAAGAATTTCTTTCCTGGGCAATGACTGAGCAGTGGAACAGAGACCAGAGGGGATGTGGAGTCTCCCTCACTGGAGATATTCCAGAACCATCTGGATGCAATCCTGTGCCATGCACTTGTCTCCCCTCAGGCCCTGCAAGGCCACAATCAGGTCACCCCAAAGCTTCTCTTCTCCAGGCTGAACAATCCCAGCTCTCCCAGCCTTCCCTCCCAGCAGAGCTCCTTCATCCCTCTGACCATCTTGGTGCCTCCACTGGACTCTCTCCAGCAGTTCCATGTGGTTCCTGTGCTGGAGCAGCTTTGCAGGGGGGTCTCACCCGAGGGGCAGAATCACTTCCCTTGACCTGCTGCCTGTGCTGCTTTGGAAGGAGGCAGCAAACCTGATTTTATTTCTCTCAGCCTATTTTTCATTCCATGGTCCAGAAATGAAAGCCTTCCCGTGAGCTTCAGCTCCTGTGAGGCTCCTCTGCCACCCTCCCCCAGGTCCCTGTCCCCTGCAGCCACCACTGTCCCCTGGCACCACCCTCTGCCATTTTCCTTCATTACCCAGCCCTGCCTCTCTGGACATCCCTTCCTCAGGGATGTCTGTTACAATATTTAGCTGAATCCTAAATGTTTACCAGTTTAGGACCAACAGGTAATAAATCACCCTTTCCAGCAGGCAGCTCCAAAAGGTGACTTAGAGGGTACAGCCCTCACTTGAACTACGTCTCTTGCTGAAGGAAGTTTTAATATCCAAATTATAGTTCTGAGTCTGGAAGGCTTCGAGATGTGGGAGATTTATGACCCCCATTAATAACCAATTATTTCTCAGACAGGTTTGCTGTGTGGTTGGGCCCAGGCTGTGGATGGCCTGGGTTGGTAAATGCCCTGTTAAAGTGTGGTGACAAACATCATCTATTTTGTGTCCATGCTGGTTTGCAGCTGTCACAGTGTGAGAACAATCTCATCCGTGCCCCTTGGACCGAGCCATCCGTCAGGGCCGTGATGGACACGTGGAGTTGCTCCCCGGGGATGCAGGCTGGGATTGCTTTGACTTGGTGGGATGTCCTGGCTATGGGATGAGGGGAACTGTCATCCTGTGTTGCTGGGGCTGCTGATGCCAGAGTGGCTTCTAATGCCAACAAGGCTTGAGAGCAGAGTAGGAGCACAGAATCACAAAATCAGCTGAGCTGGAAGGGACCCACAAGGATCATCCAGTCCAACCCTGAGCCCTGCACAGGCCCAGCCCCAAGAGTCACCCCCTGTGCCCCAGAGGATCAGCCAAACCCTCCTGGAGCTCTGGCAGCCTTGGGGCTGTGCCCACTGCCCTGGGGAGCCTGGGCAGTGCCCAACCAGCCTCTGGGGGAAGAACCTTTGCCTGAGATCCAACCTGAGCCTGCCCTGACACAGCTCCAGCTGTTCCCTGGGGTCCTGTTGGTCAGCCAAGCCCTGCTCCATCACTGTGCAGATCCAGTCTGTGCTTGCTGGACCTGGGGCACAGCCCACCCTGCATCCTTGTGGACCAGCCAAGTCCATCCCCAGGAGCATCAGCTGTTGTGTCCATGCAGTGGGAGGGGGCTGTATGGATGCTGGGGTTGGATCTGACCTTTCAGCTTTGATCCCTGAACAAGCTGAGAGAGAGAGATCTTCCATCCATCCCTTCATCCATGTCCTATGGGTGCTGTGTGAGTAACAGCATCATGGTCCAGCATCCCATCCTGGTGCCACCCCTTTGTGGGGAGCCCCCCTTGGTGTCCAGCACCAGCCACCCGGTTGTCTGTCATGTGTGACGCCCTTCCCTGTGTCCCAGCACGCATTCCCAGTCCTGGTGAGCTGCTGTTCCTCTCCCCACAGCCCTGCCTGCAGTACTGGCCCGAGCCAGGGCTCCAGCAGTACGGCCCCATGGAGGTGGAGTACGTGTCCGGAGCGGCGGATGAGGACATCGTGTCCCGGCTCTTCCGAGTCCAGAACATCACACGGGTGAGGGTCTCTGCTCTGGCTCCATGCCAGCAAAGGGGGTGGGGGGCTTCGTGTGCGTCTGTATGTGTGCCCAGATGCCCCCAGGCATCTCCCAGGGTTGGATGAGCTCATGTGCGGGTGGGTTGGTTGCTTTTTTTGGGGAAGGGCTGGGGCATCCCCAAGAGCTGCTGTGTGCAAATCCCAGAATCCCAGAATGGTCTGGGTTGGAAGGGACCTTAAAAACCATCTTGTTCCACCTCCCTGCCGTGGGCAGGGACACCTTCCACTAGACCAGGTTGCTCCAAGACATGTCCAGCCTGGCTTTGAACACCTCCGGGATGGGGAGTCCACAACCTCTCTGGGCCTTCTTGGAAGACTCCTCTGGAGAGCAGAACAATGATGCACCCAGTGAGGCCACACAGTCCTGGAGCTGGTCGTTGCCTGAATGGTGCTGTAGATCATGGAATCATGGAATCTTTTAGGTAGGAAAAGACCTCTGAGATATCGAGTACAGCTGTTCACCCAGCGCTGCCAAGGCCACCACTACCCCCTGTCCTCAAATGCCACATCTACATACTTCTGAACACTCCTAGGATGGGGACCCCACCACTGCTCTGGGCAGCCTGTGCCAGGGCTGGACAACCCTTTTGGTGGAGAAATGTTTCCTAATATCAAACCTAAACCATCCGTGGTGCAACTTGAGGCCGTTTCCTCTTGTCCTTTCCCTCATTCCCTGGGAGCAGAGCCTGACCCTCCCCCGGCTCCACCCTCCTGTCAGGGAGTTAGAGAGAGCCAGAAGGTCCCCCCTGAATGCTGGTGTCTTCAGCCTAGTCCAGCTCCCTCAAAGGATGCAGCCCCAGCTCTCCTCCTGGCAGAGAGGACCCTGTAGAATTGCCATTGTTCCATCCAACCTTTCTGGAGTTCACAGCTCCTTGCAAGATGTTAGAAAACTGTGGGAAGACCTTTCTCCTCGTGCCCGGAGGTCCTGCCACACGTGTGTCACAGGATGGAGACTCCCCACATGGGCATGGCACCAGCACAGCCCTTTTCCTGCAGGGTGAGAAGATCCACCGAGTTTTTTACCTTGTGGCTGGTTCATCTTGCTCTGAAGTGAAGAGAAATGCAGGGAAACAGGGAAGGGACTCGGACTGTGATGAAGAGCCCGTGTGGGTGCAGAGCTGCACGTGGAAAAACAAAAGCTGCTTTACCTACAAAAGCCATCCAGGGAGAGTTGACATCCCTGAAGGCTTTAAACTCCTGAGGGTTGCCAAGAGGCTGAGGCCAATGCCCCAGTGAAGGTCACCAGGCAGATGGGAATTAGGGAGCTTGGAAAGGAGCGTGCAGCCTGGCTGATGGCCCGGCTGGGAAGGTGCTTCCGAGGGGTGACTGGGGCCAGAGGAGATAAATCCTGATTATCTGGACTCAACACAAAGAGGGTTTTGGTTCACGCTGCCTGTGGGAGCATCTGGCATTTCCTGGGTGTCAGCACAAAATCCTCCACCAAACATGCTCTGCTCTCAGGTGGTAGAATATACCCTGAGCTGAATTCAAATGCAGCGTGATGGAAATCTCTGGATCTAAGAGGAGATTCCCCCAGGGAGCAGATTGCTTGCAGCCACTTCGTGCCAAGCCTTTGCCTGCTGGGATGAAGCACTGGGGATGTCACAAGTCCTCCAGAGCTTTCACCTCAGCTTCAAAACACATCTGAAAACTGTCCTTCCCGGGCTGGCAGAGGGATTTTCTCCTGTTTTAACTACACTTGTCTCATCTTCCCCCTCTGCCTTCCTGGCTTCCAGCTGGAAGCAAAAACTGAAGTCCAAATTGATCAGCCCATCACACCACATCACTGACCCAAACCAAACCTCCTGGAAAGATTAGGAAAAGCCCCCAAAAAGGTTCAGAAAAGCCCCTCTTAAGGGGGTGCAGGTAGGAATGGGCAATGAATGCCCCCAATTCCCAGCCTCCAGACTGGGGCTCCCTGCAGAGCCATGGGAATACGTGGTCCTGCTGCTTGGAGAAGGTCTGGTGCTCATCAGGTGTCCGAAATGGGGTGGACAGAGCCCTCCAGAGCTGAGCACCCCTCCTCTGTGCCTGGCCCCCTCTCTCCTCCAATGTGTGCTGCCAAGCCCTGAGCTGCATCTGGAATGTGTGACCGTGGTCCCACCCCATCCAACACTCCGGATGCTCCCAGTACTCCTGAGCAGGAGCCCCACATCTGCCGGGCTAAAGCCTGGCCTCGTTCAGCTCCAGGGATGTTTTTAATCCTCCTCCTGGATCCAGCTAACCAGATTAGCTTTCCAAACTAACCAGATTACCAGGCATTAAGCTCCTGCCTCTGTGGGTGGCAGCTCCTCGGCAGCCTCCTGGTTTCCAGCGAGCGGGACAGAAACACATCCCCGTGGATCTTCGCCGTGCAGGAGGAGGATGTGATGGAGCAGCCTTGGGGAGGCTCAGGGGGTCTGGTAACAAGTTTGAGGAGACACAGAGACAGCCTGAGATGGTGTGAGGTGGGATAAACCATGTCTGTGGAGCTTTCCCCGGGTGCAATGGGGTGGTGGAACCAGAGCGAGCTCAAGGAACTACCCAACTTAAAGCACCAGGAAAGGGTTTTCCTCTCTTTCTCCCCTGCCCATGCCTGGCAAACCCCTCTTGCCCTCCCTCAAACCTCCAGTGGAGGTAAATGAGGGCAGCCCAGGGGTTCCAGCTGATGAGTTTTGCTTCTCTAGTTGCAGGAGGGGCACCTGATGGTCCGGCACTTCCAGTACCTGCGGTGGTCGGCGTATCGAGACACTCCCGACTCCAAGAAGTCCTTCCTGCACCTCCTGGCCCAAGTGGAGAGGTGGCAGAAGGAAAGTGGGGATGGCAGGACCGTGGTGCACTGCCTGTGAGTGTCCCCTGGGGAGGAGCAGGTTCTGCTGGGGGAGGGGAGATGCCTCCAGTTTCCATGTCCACAGTTCTGCCTGGAAATCCCCTAAAAAAAGCCCTCGCTGGGGTGACTTTGTCCCCAGATGGTGCCACGACGTGAGTTTTGAGGCACCTTGTGGTCACCAAGTCAAACATTCTCCATGAGATGGATGCTTGGTGGGAATGACACCCTGGCACCATCCCTGCCCTTCCTGCCTGTCCCCTGTCCTGCAGCAGGGCCTGGCAGAGGTCCCAGCCCTGTCACCATGCCCTGGGTGTGTGGCAGGCTCCAAAGGAGCTGTGCAACTCCCATCCTTTGCTTTTCATTGAGGGGGACAT